TGTGCAAAACACTTTACACTACGTGTCCGGTCTATGTGTTCTCTGGTTAGTGCTGTTACATACTTTTTCACAAAAACATTATACTCTGATTTTCTGAAATAATGACGTCACACACGTCGTGACCACTGACCAGAGATGACTAGTGATGTGAGCCTTTAATGGCTGCCGCTTGTTGGTTTATCTATTAATCGGCAACTAATAGCAGATATTTAACATCTTTCAGATATTAATAATAATTAGCAGATTCGATTCGTTAATAAGCCAGATTTTCCGCTATCCGCAATTTCAAAATTTTTCCCGCAATCACACTTAGAAATAAGCCAGATCTGTCCGAAAATGCCACTAACCATATTGTTTAGAGGTGTCATCGATGATGGGCCTTCGATGTTCATCAACAATATCGATGTTTTCCCAATATCGAGTATCCCTTTTAAAAGTGCCTACTGGGTGTATTAACAGTACATTGCTATTTTTTAACATAAGAATTACAGTCTCGCCATTGTTAATAGACTCAATCGTGCTCTCGTTTACATATAAACTGGAAGAAAATGAGCATCAAATCAATATTTCCTATTAATTTAGATAGACTGACGGACAAGGAACGTCACAATTATATTCTTAATCATTATGTGCGGCCCTCTATGGCTGAAGGTGAATCGCGTATTCATAAGCGGGATATTGACGTTATACGTGAGAATCATCGTTTTCTTTGGGACGAGGAGGAAGCAGCCGACATTCGCACATTGAGCTGGGAGCAGCGTTTGGCCTTACGCTATTATCGAAAGCTATTCAAAGAGTATTGCATAGCCGATCTCACGCGCTACAAAGAGAATAAAATCGCTTTGCGCTGGCGAACCGAAGAAGAAGTGGTCACCGGCATAGGACAATTCCAATGTGGCAGTCGGCACTGTGGGGAACGCAAAGGTCTCCGCAGTTGGGAGGTCAATTTTAAGTATATCGAAGAAGGTGCTCCACAAAATGCACTAGTCAAGGTAAGTGTACGTAATCTTAATTATCTAGATTATTCAATACGCTGATTTACATTTTCTTTATTTATTAAACTGGTTATTTAAATACTTTGCAGTTGCGCCTTTGTGCTGTGCATACGGAACAACTTAATTATCGAACCAAGAAAAAAGAACATAAGCGCCAGAGGCGCAGAGCGAAAGAAGAACGCAATAACGACCGTAAGCAAAAGAGACGCAAAACAAATCAAGAAAGCGAGAAAAACCTCGTTGAGAGTGAAAAGTTAGAGGAAGAACAAGAAGACACAAGCATCGTAAGTTTAGATGACGACGAGCAGATTTGGGGTAAACAACTGGATCTAAGCAAGGAACAACCATCAAGAGAACAAGAATTTGAGCGTTATCTAGAGGATCTACTATTATAAAAGTTGACAAATATGACAAAGTCTGGCTGTCGTTTAAAAGGACTTTAGATTTGCTTTTGTTTACTGAACTGTTGTAAATACAATAGCATTCTCTTTATTAATACAGAGCTATAGCTCCTCTATGGCTATATCATCTACAGACTGAAGTTTGCAGACGTGTACATAAATATACATACATTTACATTTATACAATAAAAACATGTACAAACAGTGTAAAAGGTCCTGCAGTTATTCAAGGTAGCTCCACGGACCTTTCACTGAGCACACATAGTATACATACATACATTTACATATATATATATATATATATATATATATATATATATATATATATAT